CTGATAGCCTTGATCTCTGTTGCTCTACACCACAGCACCCCTTTCTTCATAGATACATTCCTTATGCAGGCTTAGATGCCTCTTATCTGACCATTACCTAGTCTGAAGCTCTTTCTCCTGTCTCCTAAAATCATTCCCATATACTATTACAGTCCAAAAGGGAAACTGTGTTAATTCTTAGGAGGAATCTGGTTTACTTGAAGGGCTGACAGTGCCTTAGGACTGGAAAGAGGTCCTAGATTAGACCCGGTATTATCTGCTACTTCTAGCTGCTCCACAGGTTCTGCAATCAAATCAGCCCCAGGTGTCTCCCTGATGCTCCCTGAGTCAGGCTGCTGTTCCACAGGGTCCTCTGAAGTGACCTCCTCCTCTTCAGATGCCTCAGAGTCAGAGCTGGCCCTGATAGAGCCAGCCTAGCTGATAGTATGTCTGCATGTACTGTATGTATGTATGTATGTATGTATGTATGTATGTATGTATGTATTTGTTCGCTCATTCATTCAATTTGTATAACTGCCTATTTCATATATGTGACTCTGGGTAGCTCACAACAGCTAAAACAACAAGAAGAACAATAAAAATGTAAATAAAAAACATTTACAAACATACAGCCATACTAAAACCACATTGACGCCTAATTAAAACACAAAACATAATCATAATCAGTGGATAACTACTATCAGTACATCAGATTCAGTGCAATCATTGGAGAGGCTTAAATCACTACCACCAGACCCCCAAGTGCAGTGGCCCAGCATCTTCAGAACCTTCCTAAAAACTAGAAGGGTTGGGCCAATCTAAGCTCCAGGGGAATGATGTTCCAAAGGGTGGGCACCAAGGCAGAAAAGTCTCTCTTCCTGGGTCTCATCAGATGACATTCCTTTGTAGCATGCATCTCCTGCCATTTGATGAGATGGAGCATGGGGCCAGGTTGTATCAGGAGGAATCTCACATAGTGCATCTAGAAACCTTTCTCCTAGGCATGTTCTCTATTCCACCACCCTCTCAGCCATGCAAACTGATGTGCCCTGCAAGCTTCCTCTCGTTTCACTCAGGCCCATTCTACCAATAGACCCCTGTCCCAAAATAATTGGAGTGACAGCTTACTGCCACAAACTACTTCCTTGCTGGGGGGGGGGCTCACTCAGGCACTTTGAAAGATGGCTAAGGCTTCCATCCCAGACACTCACCCAAGACTGCCCCCCACATGCTTTAAGGATCAAAAAGGGTGATTGTTTTTCCCAACAACTGGTGATGCTGATTGGGAGGAGAAACAAAACGAAGAAGATTCTCCAATCACTGCTCCAAAATAGTCCTGCAGTAAAACTGTACGGCAGGACCACATGCGAGTCTTGTTAGATCAGAGTTTGGTCATTGAGGCAACACAGATTGTGCTGACATGCTTTCCACCAACTCAGGGACTGGAAGGAGGCACATGAGTGTGGCCATGGGGAAGAGGCTGCAGCGAAGTTGGTTCTAAGCTTTTAGAAGGAGGAAGAGAAAAGAGACTCCTTTTTGTTTCTTTTTTCTTTGGCTGAAGCAGGTATAAATGTTAATACTGAATTGGTTGGTCCCAGATGCTTATTACTGCTGTTAAGGTAATGGTCCTTGATTGCTTTCTCATGCTTTGCTTTCTTTTAAGTAAGGACAGGCTAGTGGTCTTTGGCCCTCCAGATCTGCTACATTTAATGCTGCAGTGCAATCATAGTTTAGTCAAGTATATATTGCTTTGAGGAAGGCAAAAAAATGCACCTTTGGGAAATGGGAAGCCATTGCTTACCTTAGGCCAAGACTTCAGGTTTCCTCCTCTTTGAATAGGGAGCCATGGCTATGTCTTCCTGCCAGCCCATCTCACCATCTCTGACTCCAGTAATGTGCTATGGCAGCTCACTGGTCCAATAAACCAGTGTGTGTCATTAAAAGTGGTTCTGCACCAGATAATCACCTCTGCAACCTTTGTCATCTGCCAATTAGCTGCCTGCTAAAGCTCACCAGTTCCACCTCCTGGACCACTCTTAATAGAATGATGGTTTTGGTTCCTGTTCCAGTGTCTGCTTCTGCCCACTCTCCTGCCTCTCCCACACAGCACAGCCTTCCAGCTCTGCTCAGTTGGTGTTTTCGTTTTATCTTTGTCTTTCTCTGCTAACCCTGATACATTCTCAACCCTGAGCAGACCTTTCTGTCTGTTGCTGGCTCTGCCCCTCCATCACTGGCCTCAGCTGCCTTGCTTGCTCTTCAGTCAGCATAACCTCCCAGACTGCTCTTCATTGCCAAAGGCTGCTAGACCATTAGAAAATCTGGAACCAATTTGCAATGAGGTTCCTAAGGGACAGGATGCTCTTCGTAGACCAACCCTTTCAATCACTAACAGAATATTGCCTTCAAACCAAACCCAGGGGAAATTAGTTTATAGAATGTTGAGACTTCTCTAGGTGCCTTTCTGGGCTGTTTCCACTGTTGTATGCTCCAAGCTGAAAGAAAACCTCACCTGGTAGCCAAGAAAGCAAGTGATCGGAGGGTGGATATCTTTGAAATCTTGGTTTTGGAAATCCTAGGAGGTAGCTTGTCCCAGGAGACTCTGCAAATCTACCTGCCTGCCCATACAAACCATTGGTCTCAAGGAGATTAACCCATATTGTGCTCAAATAAATTTAAATCTCACTAAGTGAATGGCCAAGCATATACCCCTCACAACAGGGGATAGGCCATTATCTGCAAATGAGAGAATTGCTTTCTGCAAATGCTTTGGTTTATTGATTAGGTGACCAGGACCTGTCTCTCCAGATACATATTGGTAAGCAAGGACAACATTCCTTTGGACTTCATTTACTTTCTCATCTTTCAGCCTTATTGTGGTCAGGTGAAAGTTAGCACTCATATCTTATTTTTACATTTTGTGTGATTGGAGTAAGTTTAAATCTCTCAGTAGTCAATTATAGGTGTGAGGCTGTTACAGGCACAAGCATTTAAGAATGATGTGTGTGTGTCAAATGCTGTCAATGCCACTTTCTTTGTGCCAGCCTCTTTCTCTGTGCTCTGCTACCTCTGTGGCATTGTATCTCACTGCCACTACCTGCTCCTGCTTCTTCTGCTAATTTGTTAACCCCAAAAACTGACCACAAACCCTGACACAACCTTCAGAAAAGGTCAAGCTTTGTCAACCTCTTTGTTCTCCTGAACAAACATGGAGAGAAAACTTGGAAATGCTGCTTGCTGGTTTTTAAAAATTATGATCCATTGTTGCTTGGCATTATGGGATGTGCTAGAGAGATAAGAAAAGAGAACAGTCTTTGGCCTGGGAGCAAATATTGAAGTAATAACTGGCTGAGGGAAGCTGAAATTTGGCCCTGCAGGAAAAGGAGGGTAAGCTGGTGGCTGGCCTCCCACCCTTTCAGGTTGTAGTCTACCCAAGGAAGTCCAGAAGGTAGGAATGCTGGAACCACTGCTTTTTAATGCCAGATCAATTTGCTGGTAAAAGATCTGTTATTCAGGATTCTTGTATGCTGCCTCTGAGTATACCCAGTGGCATCCATGTGAGAAGGGGAGTTTAAAAAGTCAAGATGGCAGGGACTTCTGGGGAAGAAATGGCAAACTGAAGACGGCTCTGTGAAAAGTGGAGCCAACAACCATGCCGGAATGAAAAGCCAACAAGTAAACCAGCTCTTTGATAATTCCTCTCCAGACGAGGAGAAGACTTAAGCTGACCCACAAGTGCTCCAGATATCTGCTTCTCACTAAGAGACTGCAAGACAGTGGTCTCCAGCTGCTTTATACTTCTGGGAGACAAAGGAATAGCCGTCTTGCTCAAACTGTGGTCAGTTTCTTTAAAAGGGCACTGGGTTCGCGTACTTCCTTTCCTAATCACTTTTCAAAAATTGCTTGTTAACTGCTTTTTAGCTATTAGGAACCTTTGGACTGACAAGTCTGAAAACACCAGGTGAGTTTCCTTCAATCCTTAGCAAAAGAAGTTTTAAATACAAGTTTAAAGACTTAATTTTTTTTTTCTGGAATGAACAGCAAAAGAGTGATTAAAACTTTGATTTTATAAAGTTACAAGTGGACTAAGCATCCAGATAAATTTGAAATAAGATTTTGGAATTAATTATAAAGAATACTTCCCATAGAAAAATGCTTTTGTTTTGAATTATTTGAAAAAAAAAAAAAAATTT